TGTAAGAATGCTTTAAACTTAAATAATGACTTGAAAAGTACTGTTTACATCAATAATGACCAAGGCTAGGATCCATTGCACATTGGAGATGACTGCATGCTCATTATAAGTGCTAAATAATGACCTTTTAATAACAATTCCTATTATGGTTTAGTTAATGTCTAAAATTATAATTGAGAAAAAAAATTAAAATATTAAAATTATATGTGCATTATCTGTATTACAATACCAAAAAAGAATAGAATATTACGATAAAATTAAATTGATAATGAAAATATCTGATCGATTATTACAACTCATTTCAACACTGTTCAAGAGAGGCAGACACAGCTTCTTCTTTACAATGTTACATGCACAGTTACATTGCATTAGGTTTTGACTATACACAATAATAGTAATTTTTAAATATAACAATGCATTATGCTATCAATTAAATACTGCTTTATTCAGTAAATTATGCTGCACAATAAAGCAATTGATTACTCCTTGTGAGTTCTACATGGTGAAATAAACACCCCTGACCTGCTACGTGGCCTCAGCCAGATCAGCTAGTAGGCCAGGTCTTGGGTCCTTATTTCACAATGTTGACATAAAAAGTGGTAATTTCATTAATTGAATGCATGTATATATTCAGCCTTTATGCAAAGGTCATACATGTATATGATGGTCAAATTTCCCGACACTTAATGTACTGATTTCTCAGTTTCTGACATTAATTTCTTTTTCAAAAAATATCTAAAACCCTGATTTATTTCATTTTAACTCAATACCAGTAATTTAACTTTCCTTTCACTATTTTAATCAGTTTATTGAAATGACTTTTGTTTAATATGAATCAAATATTTTCAACACGCTAAAACAAACTTGTTACAGCGGAATACCAAACAGAATAAAATTTTCAATGCTACACATTCTTATTCAGAATGTCTGTATCTACCTTCTTCTTACATATCAAGTCATGTGTCTCTGTCTCGTGATAAGTTTAGTATACACTTTTTTCAAACTATATGAATGAAAAAAAATTGCATTTGAATTCAGTTATAATAAAACCTATAGAGTTATAAACTGATATAAATACTTTTATTTATTTTATTGGAATAAATGCAATTGCCCACTGAGGGTCCTTGATTGAAGAACATCAAAGATTTTTAGACAGTACTTTATTCTTCTGTTCTTTCTATTACTAATAATAATAGAACAAAATAATTAAGTTAAAAACAAATATTTTTCTTAGTGCTGCCAAGAGCTAAAGACCTACATGTAATTCTAAAAAATATGAGTAATCTAATATCGATAGAACACAGCACACTGTTCAATGTAATTTGTGACAGTAAGGTGACGTGAACGACGGAGGTTTTTGTAATCAGAAAATCAAATCACTCTAAGTAAACAACAAAATAATACATGTCAAGAGTTCAGGTGGTAATACAACCAGGCCATACCTTTTGCACGCCCAATATTTTCAAGTTATTCGTTGTCAATAACATTTTATCTATCATTTTACCAGTTCGGCAGTTGTGCTATTTTACTAGGATAAGACGAATGACCTTCACCTATTTTCCTGCTAAGAATTCAGGAATCCCATGCCCGAGCAATAAAACAAGTTAAATCAGTTAAATATCGATTCCTTTCCTTGAATTTATAAATTAAGTAACGTATACTTACGATGTTCTTCAGGCAGCGTGTTTTCTGTCTTCTCTCTTCAAGGAACTGGGAATAACTGTCGCTCTCCAAGTAATTAGCGAGGGGCATTGTTTAATGAGGGTATACCGAAAGGGTCAAGGATCTCCAAATTAACCCCCTTTACACACCAGACTGACAGTTGTTAAACAAACATATCCCAAACAAACTACCTTCTACCTGTCTTTGGACACCGACAAAGTGTTATACAAAGACGCGTGCCATTATTGCGCACTAATGAAATCTAATTGCTACCTGTAATTTTTTTTAATTGAACAAGATGAAAGACAAAAATAGTCTTAGAACGTAAAATTAAGATGTCCACCATATTTCGGGAAATTTAAACAATTGATCATTTTTCCCCATAGTGTACTTGAATCGCACATATTGAAAAGTCTCTTAAATTAGGTTTATTGTAACACTGTGGCTTTATATATAGCGACAAGTACGTGTACAACCGTCATTAAAGAACATTAGAATAATTTAAAAAAAAAGATTTTTAGGCAGAATTATTTATCGTTCATAAACTATTAATAAAAAAAATTACTTTGCATATTTCTAGTTTTCAATCAATATACAGCTGCAAATTAATTTTCAAAAAATATTTAAACTCAGAATCAATAATATTTTATCGATTTAATGTTTGCGTACATTAAATATACAGTTTTCATTATTATCGTTTTGTCAGTTTTCATTCTTAAAAAAAATGAAACTTTTCCGTGTCGAAAACGTGAAAGAGCGTGCGTTTGCGTGAAAGATCGTTATCGATCGTGTAACGTGAAAGATCGTTGCGTGCGGAATCGTTCGTGTATCAGGTTTAATCGTTCGTTAATCGTGCGGGATCGTGCGTGTATCGTGATCGTTCGTGTAAGTTGTCAACAATAACGTTCCAGCCACTGTATTTGGATGCCACTGATTTCTACAATTATAGAAATAGAATCAACTCTCTATGTTGATCACTAGTAAACATCAAGATTAATGTTCCTGATTACATTTTTGGAGGAATACTTTTAAATTGTAATACTTAAAAAGGTTTTTCAGGGGGACAAAAATATTGATTTTATTACATACATGTATAACTGCAGACACTCATATTTATCAAAGCCCTATATATCATGAAGAAAAATTTAATTTCAATGTTTTATTCGAGTTGGCAGGTATTGTCCACAGTAGTCTACACAATAGCGCGGCAGCCGGCAATCCGGCATACCGCCAACATAACAATAAATTTTGCCCTCCCTGACGGGAAGAGTAACACGCTCGGTTGACCTCATTCGTGCTACGAATACACTTCAACGCACATTATCTTTAAATTATATTATTTTGCATTAGATTTACATTTTATAAAGTCAACATCAACACCAACCGTCAAATATATAACATAAACCACAATTCAACAATATCAACAGTTCAATAGTTAAATTGAAGGTAACGATTTCGCCAATACCACCACATTAAAGTATAGTCTTCTAAGAACTGTCTTTTCCCGAACTCCTCGAATAGATTATTGGCCCTTGTCACGTATGGTATTTGGCTAGAGATCATTCAAAAAGTCCTAGAATACGGAAATAACAAGCAATTTTTATTATCATCGTTAGTCTCCTTCTACGGAACCTTTACTATCAAAAAAGACAAAATCAAAAACACACAGCAGAAAAAGATCCTCAATAGCATTCATTTCCATATTAAATTGTTAATAAATTGGATATAACAAGAACGTGTAAAACAAAGAAAATTTAATGTAAACAAACAAAGGGAGAAGGGGCATACTTAAACACCTATCTCAAAGGTTGAGGTGGGACAGTATTTCAGAATACAAAAAAAATAAATCGGATACTTCACCCACCTTTCACTTTCATTGATGCGTTAACATAGTGACTAAATACCTACACTTTATTGATGGATATATACTGTAAAAGCACAAATGTTCGTGATAGATTAAATTACGTTTAAATCGTTGTTAATACTTACCAAAAAAAAAATAAATCCCACATTAAAATTTATATGTATATATTGAATACGTTAACTTGATTCATAACAACGAAATTAGAAGCCAATGAAACTACTTATATAGACAACTTAACGCAATTTTATCCCCACGAAAATTTGTGCTTCTATATTGATTCAGACTTTTTTCATTTATCATTTTTTTTCACACAAAAGAGGTGTATGACGACATTTGATAAAGGGATAAAGCATAGATAACGACGCATATTATGAGATGAACTAAAATATGCGGTATTATTTCCAAAAGATGTAAAAGAAAGCGAAAGCAGTTTATACGAGGGTCATTCAAAAAGTTCGTAGATTTTTTAAATAACGTTTTTAATTAACGTCATATTACAACCAAACTTGGTATACATATTTTAACAACAGATTCAAAGAGTGTATTATGATATTTATTACAGTTATTGAAGATTTAAGCCAGCAAAAATGGGGTCACGGAGCAGGGTCAAAATTGATTTATTTACTGATTATACACTTTAAATGTTTATAGCTATTAATCTTATCAATGGCACTTTAAGGAAATTAAATTTAAATACTTAAAGTTAGTTTTGTTTTATTACTTCATAAGCTAAAGGGTAATGAAATACCTTGCTTAGTTTAAAAAATATCAATTTCTAAAGACAGATATACTTGATGAAAAAAAGCAAAAAACCTTGACGTCGAAAGACGTCACGGAGCAGCGAGAAGCATTAAAATGTGTTTTGCGTTCGGGGAACCTTTAAACCAAACTCTGAAAATGGAGATGGAGCCATGCACTATACGTAATATGAGTTCAAAATCTTGTCAAAAAAGTTAGTAACGGCATGAAACGTGATGTGTGCTTTACTTTTGCGCGTGGGACTTTTAAAAACAGAGTAAAACGGATAAAGAATTTGAAAATAATGACAATCTAACTAAAGATACTCAAATAATTGACAGGAAATTAAGTGTCAAGTGTCATGGATACGTTTTAATTAATGGGGAAGACGCTTCAATCCGTGTACAAATGGAATAAAACAGCGGAAATTTGAAAAACTTTCTCGATGTTGTTTTTGACGTTAGAATGTTACAAACCGTGCTCCGTGGCGATAACACATGTTGCTTTTAAAACTGGCTGACACGAGTTCCATTTAATGAAATGGAATGAAACTTTGCACATCGATTAAATTTTATGCTTTTACATATTAAAATTTATTGATCTTAAATTTTGTAAAAATTATTTAGTAATGTGGAACATTGTCTACGTATATTTTGAATGACCCTCGTACAAATGTATATAATATAACTAATGATTCTGAAAAACTAATAGAAAGAAAATGTTTAATCAATTGCAGGATAAAAAGGAATTGATGGGGAGCTTGCAACTTCAATTCCCAAGATCATCTAAATTATCACATTACATCAGCGACGCTGAATTTTATTGTGCAAAGTTTGCTAAACCTCTCAATGAACTGGAAAAACGTCTCTACAAGATAGCTTCCGAGCAAAGATGGAATGAAAACATTCCAATAGAATGGTTCAATTTTGGTATAGAAATCAATCAGATAAAAATTTCAGCGCGAATCATGAAAATATCGGAAATAAAAAAGGAAGTTCCAGAGACTACTGCTCAAGGACAGAAAGGTGAAGATAGAGTTCTAGTGGGGAAACATGATATGCTGCGTTATTATCATGATGCTGGAAAAGCTCTTTATTTTTATGAAGAAGATTTGAAAGATGAAGTAATAATTGACGTGCAATGGTTTGTAGACGCTTTCAAACATATCATCACAGACGAGCTACATTTCAAAGGTATTCCTGTAACTCAAGGGGACTGGGATGAATATTACGAGACTGGAAATTTGCGAGACCGACTTCTTTTAGAAATCTGGAAACACAAAGATAGAGAGTTGAGCAAAGACCTTAGGGAAGAAGAAATATACGACATTGTGGGAATCAAGTTGTTTAAGAAAAGTGGAAAATATCTGCAATACCACAAGGAATCACTTCTTAAATTTATGCAAAGACTTGGTTTGATGGCTGTTGGTAAGGAATCTCACTACGTTCCATGCATGAATCGCAAAGAAATAGAAAAAGGTCTTATAGCTCGTATAAAAAATTCCGAAAGTAAATCATCTGTGCTTGTTTATAAATTTGATTTCCTGCCATTTTTCTTGTTTTTTCGCCTTGTTGTTGCTTCTATGCAAGAAGATGGTTGGGATGTCCTCGAAAATGATGGTTTATCATGCCTTTACAAAAATGCTGCCTTGTTTTCGTATATGAAATACAATATCGTTTTATCTGTCTCCGAAGACTCTATTCAACTTCAAGTATTTCCTTCAATGGGAGGATATGTTTTGGAAAGAGAAACAACATGTAGAATACAAGGAAGAATAGAGCAAATGTTGAACAATCTGGCAAGAACCTTTCACAGAAAAATAAAGTTTGTTAGAGGATTCAGATGTCAAATGGACGAGGTTGAAACAATTCCAATGAAAATTGATAAACATTTTTTACCAGAAACAAGAATTCTTAAAGAGGAACGTATAATGGGTTGCCCTTTGCATTCAGTTACTGCTCCGCATAACATTGATACCAGTGAACTAATGCAATATTGGGAGCTGAAAAAGGACACAATTCTTTGAGACTAGAAATAATATGCAACATTACAAATTGCTAAGCATACTAGTATTTTAAACCATGTAATTGGCTGGAAATGACAGTCAACAACATGAAGACTTCTACTTTAAATTGTGTTGCTTTTTTTCAAATTAAACAACATCCATTTGAATGCCTTGCAATTTCTCTTCACATTGTTAGGACAAATTTGCATATATATACTGGTTTCCTATGTATAAACCTGTGAGATGTTTACCTTTGTACTTTATAAACATATACTGTATATCATTTAGAAGCTATATACATTAAGCATTTTCATTTTAAAGGACAAGATAGGGTAAAAGCCGAATCTGGCCCCTTATTTTATATAAAAATCATAACACTGTTAAAATTGTGATAGTTTGTAGTTAAGAAGTTAAAATGATGCTAACTTTAAGACAAGCACTAAGATTCAAAGCTTAACAGCCTGTCTCTGAGAAAAGCATGCAAAATCTGAAAAATTGTCCAAAAGGATGGATAGAGCTTTTCATCTTGTCATTTATTTTTAAGATCTGGGTTGTATTAGGATATAAAAAATAAATTGTAAAAGTGTGTCACATGTATCTATTTTTTAGTAATAACCCAGTTTCTATATTTAGCAATAATTGGCATTATATAGAAGGTAAAAATAGGAAAGTTTGAGGCCTGATAAAGTCACTGCATAATTATTTACAATACAGTATTTATTATTTCATCAATACATATATGTCAAAATTTACAAATACATATTTTCCATAATGATTACATCTATCTGCAGTCTATACTGAAGAACACGTTAGGCGAAATTTGGAGCTTCAGACTTTTTATGGATATTTAGTACAGTGATACAGCGGTGGGGGATAAAAAATTTTGATCAAATAAAATTTTTAATAATAATTGATTTATGTTCTATCAAATATAAAAAATTCACCCTTGGCTATTTAGTGCAGATATATTTTATAAATTGATGAAATGATGACATAAGCATGTTAGCAAAGCTCTCATTTTGTACCATAGAATTAATCAAATTCTATTAATATGGGTTCATTTGATGAGCAATAAACATATTTTAGTCTAAATTTATATTTAGAAAGTCTATAAAAATTTAAAAGTTGATAAAACTAAAAATTTCTCAAAAAATGATAAAAAAAAATAAGATGACAAGAATAAGTAAGTGTGTATAAGAGTTATCTCCCGCTGTGGAAGTCTTTAGTAAAAAAGGCGGAAATGACATTCCAATGTCAGGGTCGCCAAGAGGACAATGCTGCTGCCTGCTATGCAACTTAGATTTTTGATACATTTCGTGCCGTGTATGTCATGTATTTTATTTGTATGACTGTATCAAGGATCTATCACACTGTTTGAGCTTCTTTAAAGCTCTGACTGAGACGCTATAGTATCAGGCTGTATGGGAAAAAGTTATGGACCGACTGGAGGTTTGATTGTGAAATGTGAATTATTTTTCTCATGACCATGTTGACCATGTATACGGTCACGGGTGGTATATTTAAAGTTATGAATCTATTCAAGACATACGGATAACGTGGGGGTTAACATGGTTAAAATGGCGAAGAAGAATAAAAACTTTTGCTACCTTGTCTTGAAGTTGACGAGAAACTGAAGAATCTGACCATGTTGACAGGTAGGCCAAATATCTGATCTCTACTTCAAGCAATATAAGCTGCATTTTTAAGAATTTTACTTTGACATAGAAATTATATAATGTGTTATAATGTTAGATTTTTATTTAAATTAAAACCTTTAGGCTCAGTAAGTCTAAAATGAAGTATTAAAGTGTTTCAGAAGAAAGACTTCTGTACAAGCGAATTAGAGTTATTTAAGAAATCAATATTGTACAGAACAACGATAATGCAATCTTTCTTCAATGATAGGTTATAAAAAATTTCTTTCATTGCAGTGCGACAAATATGAACAACAGTAGATTATAATTTTTTTTTTCTCTGTTATTGAAATAGTTAATAACAATTTTGCAAAAAAAAAAAAAAAATGGCCATCGAAGTTGCAGCTCCTATTGCTTTCAATATCTACAGTGACCTATATAGAAAAAAATGTTCTAACTAGGAACATTAATATTCATTGTTTGATATGTCATACATGTATATTTTTGTAAAGAAATTAAGAAAATTCAAACAGTTGTTAAGAGATGGAGTAAAAATTTATAACTTCTCTAATCAAAAAATATTCAGCATTCAACTGCAAATATGCTTTAATTTGCATACATGTAATTTATACTTTTTGAATTGCGGCATTGTGCAAGTAGTGAAATAGTGTGCTACTCAAAATAAGTCTAAACTAGAGTATATATAAAAGTGCCAGATATTCAAAGAAGGAAAAGTTTTTTATCCAAATATTATTACATATATTTTTCTATCATATTTACTTCAACAATTAATGTATTCAAAATGAATGCACATTTATGCAAAAATAATATTGATATAGTATACCCTCCGCTTGAAAAGGGACTTGCTTGCCAATTTCCATAGCCCTCTCTCACTGACGTCAAACACAAAGGCAGCTGCACAAGATTTTTCATTCATATTTGGCATTCTTAGCATCAGACACAGAAACAGATGCGCACGAGATTTGCACGCATATTAGACCTCCCTAGCTCCTGACCTTTCGCAGGTTATCAAGAAATTAACTCTGCTAAGTTTCAAAGAGTTATCACAGAGACAAAAATAAGAAATGGAAATATTTCAAATTGTATGAAAACCTTGGTAAAGTTATAAATTTACTATTGATTACGGTAACTTTCACTTCTTGTAGCAACATTTGTCAACATGCAGAGGATTTTTTGGATCCCAATACATTAAAAGACAAGTGTCCTGTCGGTCCATTTAGTTTCCCTTCATTTTCTTCACAACCGTTGCAAATACTGAAATGAAATTTGGTATACAGATACATCGGGCAAGTATCTAGGTCAAGTTCAGTTTTGGGTACTATAGCGCCATATTTGACAGAGTTATGCCCCTTGAACTTAGAAAAATTCCACTTATTTGCAGTTTCTGTTCATTTTCTTTGCAGAGGTTGCACATGTTGAAATGAAATTTAGTATACATATTTATCAGCTGAATATCTAGGTCAAGTTCTGTTTTGGGTACAATCTCGCCATTTTTGATAGAGTTATGCCCCTTGGACTTGGAAAAATTCCAATTTTGGGGAAGGGGGGGGGGGCATAAGTGTTTTACAAAGATCTCTTGTTTTTTTATGTTTTTGAAGATCAAAAGTTTACCATCCATTAATAGGATATGAGACAAAATGCTTTCAATCAATCAAAAGTTGACAACTGCTTTAAGAAAAACAATACATGTAATAGGATATATATATGCAATTTTGTAAATATTTCATTTTCACACGTTGAAACTGTTAATAAAATATAAGGAGATAACAAACACTATATTCCAGCCTCAAAAGTCCAATAAACAGTACAAAATTTGCATAGAGCAAACATGGACCTCCAAAAATGAATGATGGTATCATGTATTTTTTTTCTTTTTTCTTCCTGGGGAATTTATGTCACAATGTCACATCTAGCTTTGGTCTGCTTTTTGACATTCTTCTACAAATTTTAGACAGACACCAGGTACTTTCATCACTTTTTTGTCAGAAAGTATGAAGTAGAAAATTGGTGCACATGAATACACTTTCACCAGTTTGTCCGTCTGTCTGTCTAGCTGTCCGTAAACTTTTCACATTTTTGACTTCTTCTCAAGAACTGCTGGGCCAATTTCAACCAAACTTGCCACAAAGCATCCTTTGGTGAAGGGGATTCAAATTTGTTCAAATGAAGGGCCACGCCTTCTTTCAAGGGGAGATAATTGAGAATTAGTGAAAATTTGGTGGTATGTTTTAAAAAAATCTTCTCAAGAACCACTGTGCCAGGAAAGATGAAACTTATGGGGAAACATCCTCAGGTAGTGTAGATTCAAGTTTGTTCAAACTAAAAATTGTAAAAATCTTCTTCTCAAGAATAACAAAGCCATAATTGATTGATCATATTTATATTGAAGATCCTCAGGTAGTGTAGATTCAAATTTGTTCAAATCATGATCCCCCGGGGTAGGGCGGTGCCAAAGCGGCCGACCAAAATTTTACATAGAAATGTATAGGAAAATTCTTTAAAAATCTTCTTCTCAAGAATAGCAAAGCCATAATTGATCATATTTATAAGGAAGCATCCTCAGGTAGTGTAGATTCAAGTTTGTTAAAAATAAAAATTGTAAAAATCTTCTTCTCAAGAATAACAAAGACATAATTGATCATATTTATATGGAAGCATCCTCAGGTAGTGTAGATTCAAATTTGTTCAAATCATGACCCCCAGGGGTAGGGCGGGGCCAAAATGGCTGACCAAAGTTTTACATAGAAACGTATAGGAAAATTCTTGAAAAATCTTCTTCTCAAGAATAGCAAAGCCATGATTGGTCATGGAACTACTTTTGGATTTAAGCTTTACAAGTATCTACCAATTCTGCTTTTTCCTAGCCACAGGGCTCAGGTGAGTGATGTGGCCCATGGGCCTCTTGTATTCTTAGTAAAATATTTTTTAACATACATGGTATCACAATTTTTTCAACCTTGATCTCTCCAATGACGTCACATTTATTTCATTTTTCAAGATAAATATTTATCATAGAGTTGGATATACAGTGGAGCCTCATTTATCCGGACGTTTTGGTTTCCAGTCAATTTGTCCGGATATGTGAAGCGTCCGGATATCTGAATTGCCAGTTAAACAAGACAAAATAACATTGAAAAATTCCGTTCGAATGAAAAGACGTCCGGATACTGAAGCATCTGGATATCTGGCGTCCGGATATCTGAGGGTCTACTGTAATGGTAAGAGCAATCTGACTATGACCGTTCTAATGACTGTTTCACCTTTGACCATCACTTATGATTTTTTGTAATTATAAACTTAATATTCTTAAAATCAGTGTTGATGACATCAATCATTGTGTCATTATTTTCTTACTTAGACCTTTCCAATGACCTAACTTCACTTTTCCCCCATTTACCAGTTACATATGCATGTACAAAAAATTATTCTTCCTGTCATCATATTTTACTAATATATACTCAAAGGAAGAGGACATATTTCTTTTCATTTCATGGGGCATTTTGTTTCAGGTAATGCAGTTTTTCCAAGATAGCTGGAACAATGGAGCAGAACTGAAAAGTCATTTCAATAAAACCATGATCTGATTGATCAAGTGAAAGTTGATACCAGTTGTGAAAGTTGTCGAAACACTACAGCAAGCAAAGAGAGTAATAATCATCAATAAATGTATTACATGTATTACTCCTGTTAATTTTCATCAGACCAAAAACAATTTTCAATCTTGAAATTTGAAAAATATTTGGCAGTTGGAAATCTCACTTTCTATACAAATTCAAGATGAA